CAATTGGCTAAAAAGTTGTTGCTGTGTGTATCGGAGGCCCTCCACTACTTTACGCTCTCGGTCTATGCATAAATAATAGTTTATAGTAAGCGTGTTTGAGCGCGAGCGTCAACAATGAATGACTATCACATGGGAATTTTTTACGCGATCAAAGTGCAAATGCAAGAGATTGAGAAAGGGAGCAAGGGAGTGGACTGCTTGAGGCAGCTGGTTTCAAGTTGGGAAAGGCTTTCAAATGCCTGTCAGTGATGCCAGATTGTGGGTAATTTCCCTATTTGAGGGATATTGTGCAAACAAAATTATTAAAAGGGAAAAAAGGATCTTTTCAAATAAAAAAGGGATTTTCTTTTGACACAGTTATCGATGCAGTGGTAAAAAGTGTGCGCTCATCGTAAAAAAATGTAGCTGTAGGAAGGCTTCTCATAAAAATAAACTTACCGCTCGGAGTCGGCGTAAAACTTTAGGTTCCGCCCCTTTGTGTGACACAATCAAGGCGCACGCAACCAATTAAAGGAGAAGCTCGGCCAAATACTAACATATGTATAAAATATTTATATGTTTTGAATTCTTTGGAAATTTTGTGGGATAAATTTTTGAGATTTGGGTAATTGAGAGATTTTTCCCAGATTTTCGTGGGATTTTTAACAGAGAATATCTGGCAGCACTGATACCTGTACACGTTGTTAAACCAAATACACGTATGTATGTAAATAGGCACATACTTATACATTCCAATGTTTACTTTTTCGCACGCTTAATTTGGCGGCAGTGGCTTATGTCAATTGCCAATTGTTATATATTGATATAAAAGTATGGGAATTTACAACAACAAAAGTTGATAATTTTGGCTTGTGAAAATGCGTTGTGAGTTTGTAGACAAACAGAGTTGCTGGAGCGAGTATTTTTCGTATTTCTGTTTGTTTCCCACACGTGCCAAAACAAAAAATTTGAGAGTGTGTATCTGTCGAATAGCGCAGTAAAATTTCAAAAAAATTTATCTAAAAAATTTGGCTTACAAAAATTGCTATAAAATTTTTTGGTATAAAATTTTTTCTTGAGTTTCTCAAACAAATTTTTGCATTTGTTTTTTTCATATTTTTTAAAAAACTAAGATTAGTCAGCTTTTGTATGTGCATACATACATACGTCATTGCCCAAATCTTTTTAAACAAAAGTTTTTGCAAACTTTGTTTTACCAAAAATTTGTCACATAAAAAAATGTTTTCGCTAAATTGTTTAATCTCTGAAGTATTTTGTTTTGAAGAGTTTTCAATGAAACGACTGAACAAAAACATTCAACCAATTTTACTCTAAAAAAAACAAGAACGGTTATACCTTGCTATGTTTTTATCATGATTATAACTAGTTTCTGAGCTAGTCTATTGCTAATGAGAAGACTGACAATTTTGTTCACCTTAACGTTTTTAACCAACAATTTTGACCCTAAAATGTTTTACCAGAAACAATATTCCCAAACAATTTTCTGCAGTGTACGGAATTTGCCCTGCCTTGTCCGCGTGCGTTGTTTTGAAGTTTTGTTAATATATATTTACAAGGAACTATCCGTTAATTCGGATATTCGGGTATACGGATATATTCCGGTTAATATCTGTTTATTTTGCTATCCGGGTATCCGGTTAATCTTCGCTCATTTGGTTATCCTGTTATTATGAGCAGTATTTTAATGGATTTTCGGATTTGATTCAGATATTCAATGTATGTGAGCTATCATTTACTCCGTAACTGTTTGGGCGGAAAGTGTGATGGGTCTCTCAATAAACTCCTCAGGCTCATTCAGAGGCTGAAGAATTCCTGCGCACAACATGTTCCCCTATCCATTTCTTCGTTATTTACGCTTCAAGTACAATTTATGAACATAAGTGATCTCGTTTTGGGTTGAAAATATCATTATCGAAAACAACTTGATTGTCTTAGAAGGCGGATTGTTGTTTGCCTCGCAGATGGTTCAGAGTAGAGCATTTCGAATGCTTTGAAATCGAACTTCATACAAACATGGTATTAAAATTAAAAAGGAATGCTCCCTTTTTACCGGTACTTTTTCCTTAACAGTTACTGTGTTGATGTTGCAATACTCTAAGGGCCGGTTACTCAATATCTGGTTGACACTAATCTGCGGTTAAACATCGTTATCGGCGTCTTCGACTCCATGCATACGACAGGGAGTCAGTAACGTCTATAACTATGTTTAACCTGTAGTTAGTGTTAACCAGACATTGAGTAACCGGCCCTTAAGCAGTTAATATAAAAAAATTACAATTCTACTTTCGCTGAACTCGACCATCTTTGTATTCACAAGTCAGTAAGTGTGTGTGTCTGTTTGGCAATCAGAAACTTTCCAGTTTATTTTGATTCAGCGGCTTATAAAAAGAAATTACTGCAATAATATGTTTATAATAAATAAATGCAAGAAACTCTCATACATATGTATGTATGTCTGCGAATGCTTAGCAAATTTGCGGAATTTGCAGCGAAAAAATACGAGTATTTTCCCGGTGAAACCAATTTAGCCGGCTGCGAGTGCAGCATCAAGGGTAAAGGGGTTTGAAATTTATGATGAAATTTTGCACATTTGTGAGGGCAAAGTTGAGCGCAATTAAAACAGAAGTAGAGCGAGTGAGAGAGGGTTAAAGATTGAGTATATAAAATTCAAAAATTTCCAGAGTTTTTGTTGATTAAAAAAAACACACATGCAAGCGTCACCATGTGGAGCACAGCAAAATATTCGAATTTTCGAACAACGTGCAAGTAGATTGGTTGAGAGTGTATGAGCATTAGTAAGAAAGTGTTGGGTGAGCGCACATTGTAGAAAACGGAGTGAAGTTAAAATAGTAGTATGCAGTATAAACTTATTGCAATTTCTTTAAAAAATACAATGAAATATCTTCTTATGCTTTTAAATAAGCATCGAGTTTAAGAACAGGCCTGACATTTAAAATTTTTGCTTATTTAAAAGCAAACAAAATAATTCAAGTCTATCAACGTACTCAAAAAATTAAAAAGTGCAGAAAAAGGTAAGCGCTTATGATATCGTTCTTTTTCTGTAGGGTTAAAAGTTTTAAGATTTTAATTAGGTTTCTCGCATTGAACAATATAAATAATAACTACAAAACTATTGCGAGTAAAATCTTAAAAGAGCAAAGGTATAATTAAAACTATACCTTGGTTCCTTTTTGGTCAAAGAATTGTTTTTCCTGTTATAATTGCGGATCAAATGGGAACGGAGAAAATTTGCAAATAAGATAAATTTAATAATTTCAGTATGAACTGTTTACGCAACTAAGGTTAGGTTAGGTTGAAGCGGCTGCGCACTCAGACCCAGTGGGTCCGTTGTGATATGAACTGAGAGCTCGAATTAGAACACGTCCGGTTAGTTATGTTCAGAAAGCGCGGGAACTCGTGAATGCCTGCTTCACTTAGGTTGGCCAGACAGACAAAAATCTGGTGGTGAAATGAGCGTCTTTTCGCCCACATGAGGACAGGGTAGTAAGAGGCGTAGTGCTCCACGCTCTTGATTTCGTCCTCTTCGCGGCAACCACGGCAGAAGTCATTAGCCGGCCGACCCATTCTGCTAGCATGCCTTCCCATTAAGCAGTGGCCTGTAATGATACCTGTCACCAGCCTTAGTAGAGCGCACTCTAACCGAATGAGTGCGTCGCAGCTGGGCCAGATATGTCGAGCCGTCCCACATGCGCGTTCTTCCGACCATCTTTTGTTGGCCTTCTCAATGAAGTATGTCCTGAGCCATGTCTTACAGGTAGATAACGGTATGCTCGCTGCATAAGAGGAGTTGACGTTAGACAGGGGCTTCTCTTCCTCGCAAGCTCGTCCTCTGCACAATTACTTTGAAGGTCTCTGTGGCCTGCCACCCACATTCCATCGCAGTTACGGGGTCTTGCAGCAGTCCGGTGACTTGATAGCTGAAGGACTAACATCTACTTTTTTCATACTAAAGCAGTCGGAAAAATGAGGAGTCCGTCTTAAGTGGAAAGGTCGCCAAAAACTATTGCTATACTATATTGTTCCAGCAAATGAGCGATATTTTTTTCTACAAAATAAACTTAAGCAAAAATTCGTAGTAAAAACCGGTTTGCCAATGCGCTTAACTTTTGCACAGCTCGCAAGCTCTCCTAAACACTTGTGCTTACACACACACACACACACACACATATATGTAACTATATTTGTACACGGAAGCGCACTTTCGCTTACTTTGGGGAGCGCAGCACCAGCAGCTTGATGAGCGCCACTCAGGCCGCTTGGAGCTACAGCTCGTTTGCCTCCCACTGCTCTGGCGCTCTGATAACTCATTTTAGCTTTTTAAGTTTTTTTTCTGAATGGCAAATCGCAACCACTGCACTACTTGAACGTTTGGCGCTTATACGAACAATTTTAGTTCAGCACGATTGGCCAAAGTGTTAACACTTGTGCGCGTTTATGAGCGACTATTTGATTGCTACGCCGTTAATAACGCTAAATAATACATACATATGCGAATACATACATACATGTGTGAAATATTTAATTTTTTGAAAGCGTCAATTTTGTTATAAAAGAAGTGAGAAGTTACTAATGTTATTTTAATGCAAAAAAATAAAATTGTGAAATAATTGCAAAGCAGAAAATTGTGGGCAAAAACAATTGCTGCTTTTGAAAAGTTGTTGATTTTTCGCAGTTAAGAAAGGCGTAAATATATTGTTAATGAGTACCTACTAGCGCGTGTGAAGTTTTTGCATGTTAACAGCTAATCATCAATACTTGTTGACAGTCAAGTATGTATGTACATTAATCAAATATCTAAACTTAATAAGTAGCAGCAAATGAGCGAACAAGCAACTGGTTATTTACAAACGACGAGAATACAATTTTTGAAAAATTATGAATAAAAACTATAAACGGAACAAAAAAGGGGAAAAGTAAAAGAGATAAAAAAATTCTAAAAAAAATTAATAAACAGCAAATCACAAACGACTTATTAAAAATACTTTGTTGGCGTGACAAAAATATTTATAGACGGACTTATATACATACATACATACATATGTACATATTAAGTGGTGTGGGTGTGAAAATTCCGCGCGTCTGCAAATCAAATAGAAAACTATACAGCACAATAAAATGTAAAATTTTCTTAAACAGAAATAAGAACTAAAACAAATACATAAAAATACAAAATTTATAAAAACAACAATAAATAGAAAACAAAAGCGCGTTGTCAGCCCGTTAAATGTCGCGACATTTGTGACACTATAAATAATAATTTGTCGTGAAAGCGCGCTGAAAAATATAAAATATATATTCGCTTCAAATTTTGAACATTACAACAACGAGAACAATAGCACAGGCAAAGTGTAGCACAGCAAAGTATGATATCGCGTTAGTTTTGGAAAAAATTTTCAATACCAACATAAAAGCAGTAACCTACAAAAAAGGAGCTTACGTAAGAAACCCAAAAAAAGTAAAAAAAAAAGTATAGCAAGCATCAAACGTAGTGCTATGTTATTTTGCTTCGCGTAAGTGCATGGAAATTCGTGACATTCATTTGAAAAATGCATTTCAACATTTGACACGTCCAATTGAACGTGAAAAAACGTGCACGCTTACGTAGCTTTCGGTTTGAAAATTTTAAAAATTATTATATTTATTAGTGAAAAACCGTGAAAAAATCACATAAAAAACATTCGCACTGCAGAGTGTTGTTCGTAGCGCAAAGTGTCCGTGTGGAAGGAAGTAAGCTCCACTTGAAACTTTTGTTGGGGCAGCGGTATTGAAGCTCCCAACCCACCCCAACAACGAGCCGTGCATTCGAGCATTGTGAACATGGCGATACATGTCCTGTCAACTACGAGCAGCCAAATGACCAGACCACATTTACGAAAATCTATGCGCATTATCGATGATAACTTAACACTGTACAAACATAATAGAAACTTTGTAAAAGCAAAAGTGCACATGACAGTTGAATCAAGCAGTCAAGCAACTAGACAAACGGTATAAGCGAAAAGATAAACGATCGAGCAAATCTGTAGAGCAACAAATTAAAAACAAACGATTTACGGAACAGAGCAAAAAGAAAGTGAAACCGCGCGCGATACAAACGAAGAAAAAGTGAAACAACGCAAGGACTCTGCTTGAGCATCTAAAAGGAAATAAAAAAGATTAAATTGCAGGCACACCTTGTAATTCAACGAAAAGCAAGCGAGTGAGTGAGCGAGTTCCAGAGCACAAACACGAGTGTGGCGGTGACTGAACGCGTTAGCAACACGTAAGGACACTGTTGAGCTGTGCAGCTAAGCAAACGAACGAAATAAGAAAAGAAAAAAAACAACGAGTAAAAAAAGTAATAAGAAAAGAAGCAGACGCAGTACGAAAAAAGAAATTTCTATGTAAATAAAGGTGTTTGCATTAATTTATTTACAACGAGCGCGCACATCTGGCAAGCAGGCGGCAGTAACTTCAACGAAGTCCAAAACACAACGCACACCCGCAGAGCAACAAGCTAAAGGCAATATAAAAGAACAGAGAGTGAGTGAGAGAGCGCCGCACAAGGATCTGACGCAATAGCAGACACATTCTAAAAGGATATTGAACCCACGCAAGCGGACAGTGAGTGTGCGAGTGCGCGTACTTGTTTGCAATTGTATTTGTATCTGTATTGCTGAGCGCTGAACAACCAACACGTGTTTTCTGTTTGCACCGGCATAGCTACAGACGCAGCCACAACCAAAGCCAACAAGCCAGCCAGCCAGCCTATCGAAGCGAAGCAGCAAGGGTAAATCAAGCAAGTGACGCTAAGCTATATTTCATTCGACATACGTGACTGGCGGTGGTTGGTGCAACAATTTAAAGAACGTAGTAGCAGGATACATACCTACCTACAAATCCAAGTATAAGTATCTACAGATACTGCCAACAACAACAAACACGCATCCTGCCTCAATTGTTAATGTGTTGTACATGTGTCCATAGTGCAAAGTGAATGTGTTAGTGGCTTCTATTTTGTATATGTACAAGCAAAGGACATTCTTTTCTCAACAATCTTTTTCAATTGGCACAAGTAAGCGAGTGTGTGTAGAAGCGCGCGCCTAAAGAACGGAAAGGACTGTTACGTTTTTTATTCAATTTAATAACGAAGGAAAGTGTAGTGTTGAGTTTCTTTTTAACTCATTTATAAGCAGTTTTTGGGCATTCGTTTTTTTTTGTTGTTTAATTACAACAAATAATTTTTGGATAGCCTCCAATTTGAAAATGGATTACTACGATAGCTTGTTGGACCATTTGCAAATGCTGGATTACAAGGTGCTCAGCCTGTTGGCTGTACCAATTATTGCTGTATTAGTGTTGGCGGCAGTGCTGCTGCGGATAACGAGAAAAAGTGAGTGTGCAACAAAATTTTATTGATTGGATTTTTGTACAAAATTCTTTTTATTTTTCTTTTTGCAAAAAAAAACTTTAGGAAATGTTTGAGATTTTCAAATCTGTGTTGACGAAAAGTAGGTGCACATTAAAATGCATTAAATTTTCTTTCAAAAGCAGTTAGTGAATATGTTACAATCGTAATCAGAAATGAAAAAAATGAACTCAAAAGGCCTAACTAACAAAAAATTTAAAATTAATTAGTTTGATTGATTTGATGCAATTCATAGAAATCCAAACCCCACATCGTTTTGTACAAAAAAAAATTTATTAAATAGTTACGACTTTTTACATGTTAATTACGGCCTTTTGCATTTTTTGTGACTATATGTATGAATGTATTTTTGTGTAGAGTTGTGTTTAAGTAAATCGAACTTTTGTGGAAATCTGTTTTTAAATGGATTTTAGCTTCAAAACGGTCAAAAATTGGAAATATCCTTGCGGCTTTCTTAAATCAAAGAAGCATAACATTTAACTGTTCTAAATATATATTTTTTACAACATGTAGTGGAAAACCGTGATGTGTTACATAGCACATCCTTTTATAAGTTAGAAAAAAAAAGTTTTGTAGCTCATTCAATTTCAGTATAATAACGTACACGTTTCAGGTCGCTAAAAATTTACGTTAATTTTTTATATTTTTTCCTCAATGGTGTTGAGCGTTTTCTTCCATACAAAAATACATTTTGTCTATGCGTTATAAGGAAGATTGAATGCGAACTAAATTTTTTGCTAAAAATTCTGAATAAAAATTTTGTTGAAAATTTTCTGAATTTTTTTAAGCTTTGTAAAAGGTTCAATATTTCATTTATATTGTTTTTATTAGAATATGAAATGTATTTTCGTGAAAAATTAACGTAAAAAAATTTTTGAAAAACATTGCGAATAGGTACTGTTAAAACTCATTGTACGAATAAATATTTTGACCACTGTTGGTTTATAAATTTTTTTTATTCCATTAAGTTGACGTATTAAGTGATCGAAAAAATATTTAAATCGCAAATAACGCTTCAATTTGGCCGAAAAAAATTAAATGAAAAATTAAAAAAATTATTTATAAATTATTATCTAATACAGTGCTCTAAAAATAAAAATATTGATATTGGGCGGTTATTTTCGGCCCCTGGTAATAACTTCTATTTATAGTGGAAATTGGGAAATTACTTTGACCTTAGTGATTAATTTTTGAAATCGTAATACCCTAATTAAGGAAAACAATCCTACAAAAAAATAATGCTTGTCATTCCTTCCATCTAACAAATCCACAACCATTCAAATAACCAGTGCAAACTAGTACATTAAAATGATTTCCGTAACCATTAGCCTGATAGCAATTTGATTTAAGTAATTACCCAACATACATTTAGCTTTCAGCTCAGCTTTATATTAAGTTGGGAGCTAAGGTATTTTGCAAATCTCCAAAGTTGTTTCTCAACAGAACCTCCAGTAAAGGATCACAGCGTTCTCAACAAAACGGCCTGATTCTCAAGTTGAGAAAAAGCTAGTTCTCAACTTGAACTCCAATGTGATTCCCCAATTGGTCTCAACCATATCATTGAAATGCTGCAATTATAATAGTAAAATAATGTATACCTTTTTGATTGAAACGAACTAGATAAATTAAAATATTAGTTGTTTATTTTCTTACTCATTCTGTAACCTGTAGTAACCAATATCGTATTACAATATTTCACTTCAACGCGTCTACAGTAAGTCTATCTTTTGACTCACTTCGAGTTTTATTTTCTTTGAAGACATTTTCTTCTTTTTGGTAATCCAATTTATATAACTTTAGTTTTTCACGTGATATTTAAAAATTCGTTTCTCTATCACTTTTTATTTGCTTATCTACGCGTCGATTTTATACTTTTGAATGCGTATGTGCTACCATGTTGGAGAAAATTTTTTTCTCCAGTTCATCTCAACTTCCAGTCCCAAAGTTAGAGATGAGTTGGAGAATGATGTTGGATATCAACTTGACAACTATGACTTTTTTCAAGGTTGGAGAAATATTTTTTTAGTGTTTGTTGGGTATACGTATGTATGTATTTGTGATGAAGCTCTCAAGTGAATTCGCACTGGTAAAATTTAATCGCAAACATTTGTAGCTTAAGTACGCTAAAAAAGCTGATAAGGAAACGTGAGTGGCATTACCTTGAATTATTTGCACTATCTAAATAAAATACTAGAAAAGTACTAGTATTATTCATACATATGTTTTCAATCGTTGTTAGCTAAGTGTGTACCCGTTTTGTACTCTGGCTGGCAGCGAGCGTCAGCTGGCAGTTAGCTCGCATTAGAAGCCGTTAACACCTATCAGTTAGGAGTATCTTCTACTTACTCATACTATATACATACATATATATACTTTGCTACCAATTTTACTACACATGTATGTATGTATGTATGAGTATTTCATAGTAAGATATTTATCTGTAAGGTGAATGAGTTAACAAGATTGCTCGACTAGCGAATTTGAGTAGAAGATACCACCAAAAATAAACGATAAAAACCGCCAGCAATTCGATTGTACTCACACTGGTAAAGAATGTCATCTCGAAGCGTTCGTTACCTGAGAAGTATTGCTGAATTGCAGACTTTTATTGAAATTGTGACAGCCTCGGTTGTTCTGTAACCGCCATGCTAATAGTTACCACTTTATTTGATTTTTATAACATACTTTTATGCGTGCGGCAAAATATCTTGGCAAAGGTGACGCTGGCTTGAATAACGAGAAAATAAAAATCGGTTTTGTTAGAGGAATTTTACAGAATTTATTCTAAGAGCTTTGTTAATTCCTCAGTAATCTCCAGCCTAGCTCTAGATACTTACATTTTCAGCCTTACTTACTTTATAACTACTATTACGTTGAAATTAACTATCTAGAATTGAGGTAAATCTATACTAATTATATAAAAGAAGTCCCTTTTTTTGTAACAGGTAATCTCGCGAACGGCTGGTCCGGTTTTCATGAAATTTTGTATACAAATAGCTCTCGGTAACCACCATGTTTTAGGCTACAAAAATTTTACTTTTTTCGGGTAGGTGGACCAGGGACCGGTCTATTCGAAAAAATCTTATTATAGTCCGATTTGCTTAAAATTTAGTATTTAAGTAGCTTTTTAGCATATATTAGCATATGTGATCAATTTTTTCCGAGAAGTGGACCAGGGACCGATCTATTCCAAAAAATCGCATTTATGGTCCGATTTGCTGTACGGATTTTAACGAAACTTTTTGTGTATTTGAGTGGGTCTCTGGATGGTTTAGTTTCACAATTTAATCCGACAGTTGGCGCTGTAGTTGAGTTATTACTAAAAATCTTATTTATGATCCGATTTGGCTAATGTTTGATATATCAGATCCGCTTTTCAGCATTAAGAAAACGATACTCTCCTCTCTCAATAAGTGAATTATTGACATAAATACATAAAATCAGCTGATGAATTTAGTTCTGTAGCTGAACAGTTTTAGATCTCGACACTTAACAAACTCCTGCCTATCGTGACTCGGCACAAAAATTTAAAAATATTGGTTCCGTACGTCATGCGGACTGCGCCCCTCGTGCGGATGGGCGGGAATGGAGGGCAAAAACCGTTGGGATTATTATTATGTATGCAATACTATTGCAAAAACGTGCTGCCAAGTGG